ACCTGGTATTGCTGTACTGCCACTGACATTGCTGCCATTACCAGTGCCGACACCACCAGTTGAGCTGAAGTTGTACATTAGTCCAGTATCACCACCGACAGCAACAGCAGGCATTTGATTACCGACAAACCCGGCGGTCGCTGACTCACTGCTGCCAGACATTGGTCCAGAAGAAACGGGTGCGTGCATGATGCCAATGGGTGGCGTGCTCGCGGCCGAATCAGCGCTCATATTACCGGCGTGCCGAGGGCCGGACACGAGTTCAGCATCCTCCAGCTTGCCTTGCGCCATCCCTGGCATGGATACGCCACCAGGCATGCCTGCACTGCCGCCAGCAGTTCCAACCCCCGCAGGATCACCCGCAACGGAAGCACTGGAATTGGCCCCTGCTGCGGCTGTAGCTGGGGGTGTTGTAAACTTGGGAAACGTCTTATTGACCAGCAGTTTTAACTCACCATCCAAGTTCTCACTGCACAGCATTGCTGTCAGGTTTCTGCAGCCAGATGAGAGAGAGAGAGAGAGAGAGAGAGAGAGAGAGAGAGAGAGAGAGAGAGAGAGAGAGAGAGAGAGAGAGAGAGAGAGAGAGAGAGAGAGAGAGAGAGAGAGAGAGAGAAGTTTGTGCAAGTACGGATCAGAAAAAAAGAAATAAAAGTTCACAAATACCAACACTACTGCAATGAAGCAGTTCTAGTGAGTCCGCAAGCTCTGAAATCAATCCTAAAATGGGCAAACCAGATACTGCTCCACAGCATTGGTAAATTACAGCAGTCTTCAGCCCAGTATCGTCCAGGCACCCTCCCCTTGTTCTCCACCAACCTCACCCACACAATTGACCCTCATTCTCAAATAGACAGACAAACAAACAAACAGACAGACAAACAAACAAACAAACAGACACACAGACATACACCCACCCACACAATCATCTATTGACCCTCATTCTCAAACAGACAGACAGACACACAGACAGACACACGCGCACACACATACACACACACACGCACACACACACACATGTGCACTGCCTCGCTGCCAGAAACTGGTGTATCTCCCCGACAGAGGGGAGAGAAATTCAAAAGGAATCTTCGAAAGATGACTTAATCGGCTAAGATATTGAACCACCTTACACCCGATATCCTCAAACTATGGGTGGACTTGAACATGATCCCACTTATGTGCTCACCACACCTCAGTAAGTGGGTGAGAACAAGGCGCAAAAAAAGGTTTGACGGCATCAAGGTCTCCATCCCGGGATCCAACTGCATTTATACCTGCCCCCAGTGTGGGTTGCTAAATCAGAGTGGATCTGACATAGGCTTCACTAGCATCATTGACTACACAATCGTTAATCTTGCCAGAAGCAGACCATTGACCAACACGTATGTATGTACTTTGAAGTTCTTCAAAGAACTTCAAAAAAAGTTGATGGATCCCGTGACCAACAAAGGTGGCAGCAAGAGTACATGAAACCCAGAGTGTACAGCTTGGGGCTTTTTCTACTATGGGTGTCTGTCACGGCAGAATTCCGCGATTACGTCATATTTGGCGCAGATCTGAGGCGGGAAGTGGCAAAGTGCATACAACTGAGCTGCAGTTGTGCAGAAAGAGACCTGCTTGAATCCTGCTGGTACCCACTACATCACTAAAATGATGTAATCCCGGAATTTCACCATGACAGCAACCCATCAGAGCTGCACACTCTGGGTTTCGTGTACTCTTGGTGGCAGGTATAGCAATACACCTTCAAGCCACCGAGTCTGATGGAAACAGACCCAAACTAATATCTGGTATTAGTGCACCCATCCACAAAACTAGCTGCCACACATGCCCACATACAAGTACCAACACCCCCCCCCCCCCCCCCCCCCCCACAGGCCCCCACATACACATATTACTAACTGGATAACGCCCTTGTCCATACAGTCTTGAAAGGCCAGAGTTACACTGCTAGTGAGTACCGCTTTCATCGGGGGAAAGAACTCCTCACACATCTAAACAGCCAGCGCACGCACACACACATGCACGCACACACGCATCCACGCACGCACACACACACACACACACACACACACACATACACACATGCACACATGCACACACGCGCGCACACACACACACACACACACACACGCACACACACCACACCACACACACATACACACACACAGAACATTAAACCATCTTTCAAACAGTCACATGATCAAGACAAGCTAGTACAACCACATCAGAACTAAAGGCTACGATCGTCGTTCTCCGATTCCCCTACCACCTGGCAGAAACACAAGTCAAACTGACGCCAATAGTGGAAACATAGAACAGAACAGCCAGGTATGGGTGCTACACACTGAAATGCTGCTACCCGTTCGCTGGGAGAGGATATACTAGCACCTATTTAGTGCAATGCCACTTCCACGTGGATTCATCACGGATAGTCATTTTCGCACGTAATGGATTTCTGTGAGATTGTGCGGACTCAATCGCCGGACAACTACCGTAAAGTTGTGTATAAAGGCCGCGGCATATATGACTTTTTGGGGAAATTTTGCAGGCTTCTATACAAGACAGGTATTTCTATGTATGTCAACACTAAAACCAGGCTTATGTGCCAATAGCGTATCTTGAAAAATCAGGCTTCTATTCAAGACAGGCTTCTACATGAGATGGGCTTTAATACAAGACGTACTACGGTAGCTGTTTCGATCTTGTTATTAGAAAATCTCATCAGTGGAGCTTAGAGTCAGAGTATACTTTATTATAAGTTTATACCCAGTGTAACAAAAGGGTTGGCTAGTGATGGAGTGGTGATTTTACAACTTACCCTGCAGAGAAAGTCAAGCAACGTAGCAGTCATGTTAGGATGTTTGAGCAGGGACTGGTTCATCACCAACACACCCGGTTCTGAAACACAGCAACAACATACACTTCACTTTCACGTTCACATGCCCATCGCTGAAGCAATGATAGCGAACAAACTTATGCTGGGATTATACCATTCAACAGCTTTCAAGGCTGATGAATTGACCACCACTAAATTTAGCCTGGTCTACACTACACAGCTGGTTGAAGTGGCTGTTTTCTGGACAGTGAATCCCTAATTTTCATTTTTTTTCATTACAACACACGCGCACACACGTATACACACAGTCTTATTTGCTCAACCTCCCTGTGACGTACACCCATAAAACGAAGAGTAAATACTAAATAGCAAAGTGACAGTCACCCCTTCCCACACCACCAGCACCGACACAAAACCACCAAGCAAAACACACTAAACGGAAAAATGTAAGTCACTTCTGAAAATAGCACGGCGGGGGGGGGGGGGAGGAGGAGGGGAGTTAGTGACCCCTTGTTCAAAGACCTCGATATGGCGAGGGATATGCTCATCTCCTCTCCCCTTGTCCAACTCTCCACTCAGGGTTCGCAGCCAACCAAGTACACAAAAGTCCAAACTTTTTCCAAACCAATTTCAAGAATTTCCAAACCCACTCGTGCAGGAAAAATAAATATTATGAATCTCTTCTGCATGACTGTATTCTCCACTACGAGTACAACCAGGGAGTAGTAAAATCCTCCCTGGTACCACTACCATCAACAAATTCACCAAGGTACATTGCAATGGTATCGCCTTCAGCAGCTAGAGCCCCCGAAAATAGCAGGGGAATAATTCAATTCATACGACGAGAGTTCCCCTCCGTAAGTTCAAATCCGCCTCCAGGAGGGGTTCCAATGAAACATTTACATAGCTGGTGTTCGTCTCAGCGCAAAAGACGACTTCATCCTCGCCAGCAAACTCATCTGAGTGCGAAAGGACCTCGCCATCCTGCTGTCCCGACTTCAAAGAACCAAAGTCGGGCGCGAGCGCCAGTAACGAAAAACGGCCAAATAAAAGTCATCACCGGCCGCGCTTGAGCTGCACTGAAATGACTGGACGAGACTCGTACATCAGTGAACACTACACATCGCCAGCGCGTCTTCTATCGCGGTAGTCAAAACGGCCACTTGCACTGCAGGAGTGCAGCACATCCACGGCCCAAAACTCGAAATTCCAAACTTTTTCCAAACTATTCCAAAAGGAGCGCCTTTTCAAAACTTTTTCCAGACCTGGAAAATTGAATTATAAAATCCAAACTTTTTCCAGACTTCCAAACTTCGCTGCGAACCCTGTCCACTGGCGTACCAATATTCATGATGTTCTCCTCTGGACACGACGGATTGTAGAAGAACCAGTCAAAGAACAGAGCTAGCTTGGCATTGGACGCTGCCACGTTGCTCTGCAAACACACACGCCGACACACACGCAGACACACACACACACACACACACACACACACACACACACCAAGAGGAAGCAACATGAACAGTCTGTTACTAGTGCTAGGCAAAGACAGGCCCAGAAGAACCAGCACACCCCACCACACCAAGCGATTCACCAACAACACGAACTCTTGACATCAAGATGGCCAAAATAAAACAAGGCCATCAAAAAGAAAACAGGACATGTACATGGCACCACACAGATATTTTCTAGTTCACAAATCCGTTGATCCCCGAGCTGCAGAGAATGCTCAATGTCATAGACACAGCCTAGGACATAGCAGACTCAGCGGAGGACGTTCATGTTGGTTGTAACTCTGAGTTTCATGCTGCTAGGCAATCATCAGACAACTGATACCATGCCGCTAGGCAATCATCAGACAACTGATACCGTATCAGTTGTCTGATGATTGCCTAGCAGCATGAAACTCAGAGTTACAACCAACATGAACGTCCTCCGCTGAGTCTGCTATGTTTCAGGTCTATAATAAAATTAATAATTGTTCTGACGATGGGTGACTGGTACGAAATGTCATAAATTTTCAACATCACAATAAAAGAATTTTCAATGCAGCGCATGTGCAGATTGTGAATAGTAACTGAATAGAGTGGTTGTCAGTTGACAATTCCCCTTTTCTTTCACAATGCAGTAGCGTGATGTCCACAAGTCTCTTTATAATAGTGTTGCAGCTAGGTGTCAGGTCGTTGAATGTCTCAATATCCTGGTCAGCTCCGTGTCTTGTCGCACTATCTGACAGTAGGGAGGTTCCGGAGTACGATTTTTCGTGCCAAAATCCGTGGAGGCTCTACGGATTTTTTATACGTCGTTTTCGAGCAGTGAAAAGTTCCGGGTTTGCCGTCATTGCCTAGGTTACGATCGCAAACACGTCACATTCCCGCGCTATGCCTTTTTATTTTGAAAACTTGTACCGAAGTCACAACTTCCCGCGAAAAATCGATGTTTCTCGTACCGAATTTGTACGTGAAAAATCTTTCTGCACCTGATGACGCAAAATCTCCATACGAAACATGGTTCGTATGAAAGCCAGTCCACACGGATTCTCCGTGCCGAAAAATCGTATGGAGCACGCCTGGAAAAAATTCGTAGCGCCCATACGGATTTTGGCACGGAAAATCGTACCCCGGAACCTCTCTAGTATAAGATCTCGCTACCTTGGTGGACTGTTGATCGTAACTAGTAACTTATAGGTCCTTTCTCTTTACTGTAAAAGCAGAAATTTTCGGTGGTGTAATATTTTCGGTATTCTCCAAAAATCGGCGGTTCGGTGGAGGATTTTTTTTCGGTAAAACCCGTTTTCCAGGTAAGTGTACTAGTACTACATGTATACAGTACCGGTAGTACCGAAATTTTAGGTGCGTTTTATTTTCGGTAAAAATTGTCGGCGCCGAAGTTACCGAAAATAAAACACCACCGAAAATTTCTGCTTTTACAGTATAGTGTACTAATTTCACTTTGCTCACCTGACATGACATGAGCAACCAGCCAATGACAGCCCAACGAGGAATAACATTCGATGCCAGGATTTCATTGGTCGGGTGCACAACACAGCAGATATAGCGAACCAAGTCCGGGATGAGGGTCTGCCGGTCCGCAACGGACAGGTACTGAAGACGGCAAGGTGACACACACACACAGTGCAGGCACATGGACACACAGTTACACACAAACATGTATGCACCCATACAAACACAGACATGCAATCAAATCGGGCAGCAACGTCAAAATAGGGTCTTAACTCCCGCTTTCACACACACGCCTGCACACTCGGCTCTTTCAAAGTACAAAAGTTGATGTCCATTGGAGGTGGTCATACATCAAAGTTTCACTTCATTGTGATGGCCAAAGAAATGACGAACGTATCTCAGAAAAGATGTATGTAAGAGTTCTCCAGGTTAGAGCATGGCGTAGGAGGTGCACGCCACAGTCGTTTAAAACCAGGTGGACAGACAGTGTATGTATGCTGACTCACCTGTGCATGAAACCAGTCTTGGTATCGCTTTTGTGTACCCATGCTGACCTGCAGGAACACAAGAAAGTGCAACAGCAGTATGAGCAGCAGCAACAGCAACAGCAACAGAAGCAGCAGCAGCAGCAACACCGGTAAGTGCAACAACAGTATTGCAGAAGCAATGGTGGCGGCGCCAGCAACAGCAGCAGTAACAGCAGCAGTATAAGCAGCAGCAGGTATGCAGGGGAATACCGTCGAGAAGTCTTCTCTCCAGTCAGATCCAGCAGTACCCCAATTACTTCTCGGAGCAGTTGGCAATGATTTACTTCCGCTGGTGTGTGCTGGTCGCGAAATCGGCGAAATCAAATCCCTCGAGGAAGTTCCCATCTTCACAGTATGTAATTGAAATAAGTTGAAGATGGACAAGCCTTCAAGAAATGTAGAAACTCTAGGTGAAGAGCAGCTGTTTGAGCGCATCCCTACCTTGGACAGCATGAAGCTGAGCTTGGTCTCCATGTCATGGGTCAAGCGACAAGCAATATAACGACGCGGCGTCCGAATGTCCAGGACTTGACGAATATCTGCACACGCACACAAACGCACGCACGCACGCACGCACACACACGTCGGCATTCATCATCAGCCATCCTATCCGCGTTTGCCACGAGCCGTGTACCCAATCTTACAAGTACATAGCACAGCATTCAAATGAACCTAGGAACATGTACTGTACTACTGGCCGTAGCACTGTCATCAATACAGTGACACATTATGGCCAGTAACTCATAGTACAGTAGTAGTACAGTAGGGTTTTGGAACACTTGGGAAAAAAATATTCATTGTGTTTATTTTACTGGTAAAAGAGGCTACATAAAAATTTTAACCCTTTAGGGCCCACAATTATTTCAAGGAGTGCACTGCATACGCGAGCCCAGGTACTTATCTGGTCGTAACTTTGGTGTCCTTTGGCCGATCTTGGTGATCTTGGGCTTTCTGGAAAGCTCTTGGCCAGAGGAACACAGCCATACCCAGCAATCCATCATTGAATCCACAGACCCAGCGCCGCAGCGCGATTCGGCGCTCCAAAGCCAGCATTGCGAGCGCCCAACTCAAATTCTCTGCCATTTCAACAAAATGTATCGTAGATCGCTCATATTTTTTTTACATGAGAGCTGCGAAACATGCCTTTGCGATGACGTGAACTATCTGTGGCTGTGTGCTCCGCGAGTCAGGGAAACCCCCAAAAACGAGTTCAAAATGCACGCGCCAGAGTTGACTCTGCTGAGCGAATTTAGTTCGAGTCTCATAACTCCGCTCTCCGATCTCGGATCGCCTTCGGGTTTTTTCGAGCCGATAGCTGAGACAATTCTAATGTCGATAGACCTTTCGATTGTCCGATTTGGTCAAGGGACGGCCGAGTTACGCCAGGTTGCGCTTTGAAAAGTATGCACTGTAGAGGCGACGGTTTCAAATAGGACACAGGTTGCAAACCGGAACGGACTCAATATTCACTTTCTCTCTTGGTATTTTGATTAGAAAACATATGTCACAGTGAGACTACGATGTGTTATACTCCGAGCCAAAATTTCATGGCTCTGCGATGACCAGAAGCGCCATATCAAGCAGGTGAGTTTTTGACGTGTTGCTTCGCACTGCGACTTGAGTTTTACGACTTTCGAAAAATCAACTTTTTGTCGCAGGTAAACAGCGGCTCGCCTCTCGCCAATAAAGCACCGCATACCAATCAAAACTAATGGAAGCACACTCAAGGCTTATTGTTACTCTGTACTGGCCGTCGTGGAGCAATAGCAATTACCTAATTTCAGACCCAGAGTGAATTTGACGTGCACTCTAAAACGTGTCCGGTTTGGAGCCACCTCTGATTTGAACTTTTTTGAAGCGAAAAATTGGGCAACTTGGAGGCAATGGGTCAACACAAAGGAGTGGCTCAGTTCGATTGACTCGGGCCCCAGAGCAAACTTCAACATGCCAGTTTCCTTCCACAAACATATTTCGAGTGAAAAATCAACGCTGATGATCGGTTTGGGTCTATACAAATTTGGCTGTCAAAGCGTCCCGGTATCGAGCCGTCCCCTCTACACTGGTACGGATATATCCGTACTATGGGCCTCAAAGGGTTAATAATAATAAAAAAATTTAACAGTAGTACAGTAACACATTACGGCCAGTAACACATTAAGAGAGCATGTCTGAGAATACCAAAGTATGTGTGCAAGCGGATCTCTCCGATTTCGCTCAAAATTTGCAGGTAGGTTCCCTTTGGGGTGTGGATCGATTATGCAAAGCCCTTGAAAAAGTTTCTGAAGGGAACCTTGAAATTTGCACACCCCTCAAAAATGGCCGAAATATCACATTATTTATGGGTCTAGAAACGAGTCACGCCACAGCGTATACGAACAAGCTATGAACAAAACTACATCAAGCCAACATTGCCTCACCTTAGAAGAGTTCCTGGAGCAGTACCGCTTAGCCACGCCAGCATCCCAGAAGACGAGGTCCATCACCCCCTGACGCCACAAATGATCGTCTTGAAAATAGCCAATTTACAAGCGCTGGCAAAACAGCCAGCTACGTCCTCAATTGGCCAGAACTATACACCGGCAGATAGTAGAACACCTCTTCTAGCGCTGAGGACATGTCCCCCATCTTCCTTTTGGGGTTTTCTTGAAATAAACTTTTTTGAATTTTTCCACTCGACCATGCTGAAATACGGCCAAAGTCATACCTGCGCAGGAAAGCTCGCTACTCCGCGACGTCTCCTCAGCAATTTCTACTCCAACACTATTCCCAAGGCCGCAGAACAAAGTGTAGTGTTGACTCTGACAAGGAAAAGCAGCGGTGATCACTTGTCACTCCAAACGACAAGCTTCTCCTTGCGCCACCAATAATTTTTTGTGCGACTGTTGCTGCAAAAGTGACTGAAGGCCTGAGCGCAGTTTTTGAATTTTATTGCAAGATGCACGGTGAGATCGCGTGCTCTGTGACGTAGGATGACGCTTCCTGCATCACGTAACGCGGCCATCGATCGCGAATGTGCCTGGAACGCTACTCGGAACAGACCATGATGGCAGAGGTAAGATGAGCTTCATTTCCTGCTTGAACTGCTGAGAACCCCCACAAACTGTCCTAGGAGTGTTGCAATGGCAGCAAGCCGTTGAAATATGCCCGGTCAAGCATGGAGAGTTATTCGTCTTTCACACTTTAACCTCCTGCAATCCCGAACATAGTCCAACAGTAAAAGTCCCTTGTTTTCATGTCGATGCTCGACAAAAGCGACTAGCTCGGTCCCTTTGTGTTGACTGGCACGCGAGCAGCACTGGCTGCACGCACTTGTCGCGTGAACTGCATGAGAGATTTCTTACGTCATAAAGAATGTGATTTCATCATCATTTCACTGGTCTTCGACCTACATGGTCAGGGAAAGTCCCGGTTCGTAGGCCTACAACACGGTCAGCGTGTTCTTGAGCGCCGTAACAACACAAGTGCGATCACTTCCAGACCAACGGGCGTTCAAGGCGAGTAACAAGCGCACTTGACAAAGGTGACTCTGGAATCTCGTGAGCTGTGGGCCACGCGACTTGGCATTCTTGCGTCACAAGGCACGTGATTTCACCGTGCATCTTGCAATAAAATTCAAAAACTGCGCTCAGGCCTTCAGTCACTTTTGCAGCAACAGTCGCACAAAAAATTATTGGTGGCGCAAGGAGAAGCTTGTCGTTTGGAGTGACAAGTGATCACCGCTGCTTTTCCTTGTCAGAGTCAACACTACACTTTGTTCTGCGGCCTTGGGAGTAGTGTTGGAGTAGAAATTGCTGAGGAGACGTCGCGGAGTGGCGAGCTTTCCTGCGCAGGTATGACTTTGGCCGTATTTCAGCATGGTCGAGTGGAAAAATTCAAAAAAGTTTATTTCAAGAAAACCCCAAAAGGAAGATGGGGGACATGTCCTCAGCGCTAGAAGAGGTGTTCTACTATCTGCCGGTGTATAGTTCTGGCCAATTGAGGACGTAGCTGGCTGTTTTGCCAGCGCTTGTAAATTGGCTATTTTCAAGACGATCATTTGTGGCGTCAGGGGGTGATGGACCTCGTCTTCTGGGATGCTGGCGTGGCTAAGCGGTACTGCTCCAGGAACTCTTCTAAGGTGAGGCAATGTTGGCTTGATGTAGTTTTGTTCATAGCTTGTTCGTATACGCTGTGGCGTGACTCGTTTCTAGACCCATAAATAATGTGATATTTCGGCCATTTTTGAGGGGTATGCAAATTTCAAGGTTCCCTTCAGAAACTTTTTCAAGGGCTTTGCATAATCGATCCACACCCCAAAGGGAACCTACCTGCAAATTTTGAGCGAAATCGGAGAGATCCACTTGCACACATACTTTGGTATTCTCAGACATGCTCTCTTAAGGCCAGTAACACATTACGGCCAGTAACACATTAAGGCCAGTAACACATTACGGCCAGTAACACATTAAGGCCAGTAACACATAGTACAGTAGTACATCAATACAGTACTGTATAAGCAGAAAATTTCGTCGGTCAATACTTTCGTCCAAGTCCAAAGAAAGGGAGTTCGTCCGGTTGTAAATTTCGTCCATGGATCATAAGAGTGTATTGAAAAGCTGGACAAATCGATATTAGTCCGGCATTTAATTTAGTCCAAAAGCTCCTTGGACGAAAAAGGCGAAATTAAATTCCAGACGAATATTTTCTGCTTGTACAGTAACATATTACGGCCAGTAACACATAGTACAGTAGTAGTACAGTAGTAGTACAGTGGTAGTACAGTGGTAGTACAGTATAGTAGTAGTACAATGTAGTAGTACAGTAGTAGTACGGTAGTAGTACAGGATAGTACAGTACAGTAGTATGTACAGTAGTAGTACAGTGGTAGTACAGTAGTAGTACAGTTGAAGGTAGTACAGTAGTATACCAGTAGTAGTACAGTAGTAGTACAGTGGTAGTACAGTAGTAGTACAGGTGGTAGTACAGTAGTAGTACAGTGGTAGTACAGTAGTAGTACAGTAGTAGTACAGTAGGTAGTACATGTAGTAGTACAGTGGTAGTACAGTAGTAGTACAGTGGTAGTACAGTAGTAGTACAGTGGTAGTACAGTAGTAGTACAGTGGTAGTACAGTAGTAGTACAGTAGTAGTACAGTAGTAGTACAGTGGTAGTACAGTAGTAGTACAGTGGTAGTACAGTAGTAGTACAGTGGTAGTACAGTAGTAGTACAGTAGTAGTACAGTAGTAGTACAGTAGTAGTACAGTGGTAGTACAGTAGTAGTACAGTGGTAGTACAGTAGTAGTACAGTAGTAGTACAGTAGTAGTACAGTGGTAGTACAGTAGTAGTACAGTGGTAGTACAGTAGTAGTACAGTAGTAGTACAGTAGTAGTACAGTGGTAGTACAGTAGTAGTACAGTAGTAGTACAGTGGTAGTACAGTGGTAGTACAGTAGTAGTACAGTAGTAGTACAGTGGTAGTACAGTAGTAGTACAGTGGTAGTACAGTAGTAGTACAGTGGTAGTACAGTAGTAGTACAGTGGTAGTACAGTGGTAGTACAGTTTTTTTTTTTTGTGAAGAATCAACACATATATAAAAACGAATCATCATATACAGTATTTACAGAGTCTGTCACTCAGTAGTGGTCAGTAGTGGTAGTACAGTGGTAGTACAGTGGTAGTACAGTGGTAGTACAGTAGTAGTACAGTGGTAGTACAGTGGTAGTACAGTGGTAGTACAGTAGTAGTACAGTAGTAGTACAGTGGTAGTACAGTAGTAGTACAGTAGTAGTAGTACAGTAGTAGTACAGTGGTAGTACAGTAGTAGTACAGTGGTAGTACAGTAGTAGTACAGTGGTAGTACAGTAGTAGTACAGTAGTAGTACAGTGGTAGTACAGTAGTAGTACAGTGGTAGTACAGTAGTAGTACAGTGGTAGTACAGTGGTAGTACAGTGGTAGTACAGTAGTAGTACAGTAGTAGTACAGTGGTAGTACAGTAGTAGTACAGTGGTAGTACAGTAGTAGTACAGTAGTAGTACAGTAGTAGTACAGTAGTAGTACAGTAGTAGTACAGTGGTAGTACAGGTAGTACAGTGGTAGTACAGTGGTAGTACAGTGGTAGTACAGTGGTAGTACAGTGGTAGTACAGTAGTAGTACAGTGGTAGTACAGTAGTAGTACAGTGGTAGTACAGTGGTAGTACAGTAGTAGTACAGTGGTAGTACAGTAGTAGTACAGTGGTAGTACAGTGGTAGTACAGTAGTAGTACAGTGGTAGTACAGTGGTAGTACAGTGGTAGTACAGTAGTAGTACAGTAGTAGTACAGTGGTAGTACAGTAGTAGTACAGTAGTAGTACAGTGGTAGTACAGTAGTAGTACAGTGGTAGTACAGTAGTAGTACAGTGGTAGTACAGTAGTAGTACAGTAGTAGTACAGTGGTAGTACAGTAGTAGTACAGTGGTAGTACAGTAGTAGTACAGTGGTAGTACAGTGGTAGTACAGTGGTAGTACAGTAGTAGTACAGTAGTAGTACAGTGGTAGTACAGTAGTAGTACAGTGGTAGTACAGTAGTAGTACAGTAGTAGTACAGTAGTAGTACAGTAGTAGTACAGTAGTAGTACAGTGGTAGTACAGGTAGTACAGTGGTAGTACAGTGGTAGTACAGTGGTAGTACAGTGGTAGTACAGTGGTAGTACAGTAGTAGTACAGTGGTAGTACAGTAGTAGTACAGTGGTAGTACAGTGGTAGTACAGTAGTAGTACAGTGGTAGTACAGTAGTAGTACAGTGGTAGTACAGTGGTAGTACAGTAGTAGTACAGTAGTAGTACAGTGGTAGTACAGTGGTAGTACAGTAGTAGTACAGTGGTAGTACAGTGGTAGTACAGTAGTAGTACAGTGGTAGTACAGTGGTAGTACAGTAGTAGTACAGTAGTAGTACAGTGGTAGTACAGTAGTAGTACAGTAGTAGTACAGTGGTAGTACAGTGGTAGTACAGTAGTAGTACAGTGGTAGTACAGTGGTAGTACAGTAGTAGTACAGTGGTAGTACAGTGGTAGTACAGTAGTAGTACAGTAGTAGTACAGTAGTAGTACAGTGGTAGTACAGTGGTAGTACAGTA